CCGCCCCCCCCCTTTTTTTTTTTTAAAAAAAAATCGCAAAATGAAGAAAAGCCGGCAGGGCAAGCGACAAAAAACCAGGGCCCCTTTAGCTCAAGGTCTGGATATTACAGGTAATGACAAGATTTCGAGTGCAATTTGGTGTAAATAAGAACTAGTACATTTTTCAAAGACATCAAAATCAGTAGTCGTGGAGAATTTCAAGTGCTTTTTCACACCAAATTAGTATGGGTACAACATGATTACGCGTGCAATTTGGTGTTGGGCGAGAGTAAATTTTTTAAAAACATCGAAATTGCATGAGCCCGTAGGGCGAATGCAATTGCAATTGCTTATTTACACCGAATCACTCAAGGAATCATGTTGTTACTTGATGGCATAATACATGAAAACGCATTGCAGATAGTTAAGACGGACAAAATTTTGGCAGCACGCGTGCTATTGGTGATTTGCACTCGTGTTGCACGTAACTACATAAAAAATGCACTCGTTTCATGTTTATTACTATTCACAAAAATACAAACTAACTTGTCAAGGGCAACAACAACTTGAATTGTCCTAACCCCCGAGAGTTTTTTATTTTAATTTATTATCACGCTGCGTGACACACGACTGAACGATGACCTCCGAGGAGAAGAGGAGAGTGTTATCTTAATCACGCCCAATCCTCCTTTATCGTTGATATGGATACCGACGAGATCCTGGAAGAAATAGGAAGTTATGGACTCTTTCAAAAGCGAAATTCTTTACTTCTTGGCCTTATAATTTTCGTACTGACCTTCCAAACGGTTTCTATGGTGTTTATCGGGGGTGAGCCAAGATGGCGGTGCAAAGGAAACAGCTCTATATGTACACGAAACGAGACGTTCAGTTCATACGACGGCTTTTACAAAGCCAGATGCAATATGAGTTCTGACGACTGGGAATTTACCACCGAGTTCACATCTATCATCACTGAGGTTGGCCTGTTGTTTTTCTCGAAGTTTGGACAGATGTTTCGAGGTTAAACTTCCTGTGCAAAGTCTGACCAGGATTGTAAACAATGACCTGTGGAGTTTAGTCAAAGGTCGGATGAATTACGGTCGAAAATCTTAGCATTATGCCTTGGAGCGTCACCCCTGAAAACATCACATGTTACTGAAAATTATGCTCAAAATTTCTAATAATGCTTAATTTGATAAAAACAGTTTCGAAGATTTGCTCAATCTCCCTTCTCCCATTCCTACGGCCCAACAGGTGAAAATTATAAGATTGAGAGGCTTAGCGAAGTTCAGAACAAAACATTTTACGGGATCAAATTCCATAACTGCAAGAGAGAAAACCATGCTCACTGATGACGTTACTCAGGCTCCATAATTTATCTCTTGTCTAACTGTAACAAGTTTAATCAAAATGCCAGTATCATGCTTGCCAATCTGATTATTACATTCTGCCAAAAATTATGCCGGCGTAATTTATCTGACCCTGGGTCTTATCTGACCCTAAGGCGAGGTTCCTAAAAGGGGGGGAGAGGAGATTGGGGTGTTTCACTGGAAATTAAGTTGGAGGAACTGTATGACTTGCTTCTCAGACTACTCCCCTGGGCCTTTTAGATAGTTGAAGAAGCTCTGGAATTCTGCATCATAGGTGGAGGGGTATTTTTCACCCTTTGAGCCCCAAGATCTTGGTAGCAGGTTTATCTATTGTCTAACATACATTTTTCACAATGTTAGTCCAAAAAATTTGGTTTTATAAGGAGAAATTATTTCTTTGTCACTTATTGGAGTGAAAAGGTTAACCCCTTTAACTGCCATGAGTGACTAAGAATTTCTCCTTACAATATCAATACAATATCAACCAGCTAAGTGATAGGAATAAAGAAGAATATCAAATTGGGGATAATTAGTTGATCTAATATTAAATTATTGGAACTAAAATTATAAGGATTGTATAGTTGACAGGGAGGAGAACGACAAATTTGATCTGGGAGTTATAGGGTTAATCAGTAAGCTTTTTATGTTTCACCTTCGGGGTATACATGTTACCTTTTCCATAAAGGATGAACATGAAATGGCTTGCTGAACTGTAAACACTTTATGATAAGGGTATGTGCAGCATGTGAGCAGACAGCTAGCCAAATGTTCAGATAGTCTTTAACCCTCTGTGGCTATGAATTTTCCTCAAACACATCATCATTTTGTTCTCATTTTTTTCTTTTTACTCAAGTGGAACCTTATTTGTGGCGCAGAATATTATGCAAGCCTGTCACAATCTATACTGTTCATTGGGTGGATTCCAGGAGCATTTATTATTGGAAGACTGTCAGACAAGTTTGGTAGAAAACAAGTTCTTTTCCCTGCTGTTTTTTTTGTTGCTGTGTCTTCACTAGCAAGCTCCTTTGTTCCTGTGCTATGGTGAGTAGAGAGTAAAACATAAGGGTCTGTAGATATGGGATTTCTCTTTGAGTGTTGAACTTGATATTTCATGAGTGATTACAGCAAATGCATGAGATAATGAATTGAATACAGGAAGTGAAGTTCCACATCAATAAGCAACCATGTATTATTTTGTGTCTTATATAAATGTAAACACCATTGGCTTTTTCTGACAAGAAAATTAGACAAATAACCTTGGATTGAGAATGGTGAGTGCTTTGCCATTCATTCATTTTTCTGATGGAGTGGGGCAAAAGGCAGGTGATGTGTCAACAGCTAATTGGTGATATATCAGAGGCAGTTAGAAAATTATTGTAATTAATTATTGTAATTAAATTATTGTAATTTGGTATGTGAGCAGTAATGGCATTTCTCGGGGCTGGAAATCCTTGTAAAATACCATGTTTTATTTAATGAATAATATGAATGTCAAATAACAGTAGATTAAAGAATCATATATTAGCATTAACATGCACATCATGCATAAAGCATTGGATCTACTAAGGATGTTGCTAGGGGAGGTTGTGGGGTGCCCATGACCCCCCCCTCCACCCAAAACACATCATGGACGTCAATAAGATAATCTGGTAAGTACCCTCTGTATGACATAGTGTAACCACCCTTTGACAAATCCTATCTATGCCCCTGTCTACTTGACCTAGCTGTGATTGGCCACACAAGTTTAATCATTACTTGAATGAAATTGTTGCAATATTTGCAATATTTATTTTACTTCCCATATGACATTTTTCCCAGGCTGTTTTTGACTCTAAGAGGAATAACAGGGTTCTTTCAAGGAGGTGTTTATATAACCCTTTATGTGCTTACAACAGAGTTTGTTGGACCAAAACACCGAAGTTTAGCTGGGACAGTGGTTTGGATTTTCTACACTTCTTCACTTATGATCCTGAGTGGATTGGCATATGGAATACGTGAATGGAGAACTTTGTCAATTGTTATATCTGCCCCAGCATTTTTACTTTTGATATTTTGGAGGTGAGGAAAATCAAATCATGAGGTTGAGATAAAATTATCACATGGAAATAAGTCAATGAAAATTACCTTGAATGATATCTTTGAGAACTGCAAGAATAACATTCTTTGTAGGTCATGGAAAACAACATAGATGTCATAAAAAAGCTTGTGGAAAATGTGAACCTAGAATTTTTTTTGGAATATTTTATCTTAAAGGTGGGTACCTGAATCATGTCGATGGCTGATAGTTCACAACCGAGTAGGTGAAGCAAGGAAGGTGTTTTCATTGATTGCTACCATAAATAAAAAACGGCTTCCCACTGAGAAACTTGCACTTGCAGAGAATAATCACAATGCTGTAGAAGAAGGTGGATTTTTGGATTTGGTTCATACCAGGATCCAGCTTATACAGACTGTTATTCTTTGGTTTGCATGGTAAGCATTTTTGATCTTTACAATTAAAAAAAATAGTAACAAAATATAATTCAAGTTACTTTTAAACCCCTGATTTCTCCCCCCCTCTTGGCTGCTTCAATGACATATCATTCAAATGTCATTCTTTCTTAATTACAATTAGTAATGCTTCCAGGACAATCCCCCCCCTGAAAAATAAAATAAGCAAGGCTCATTGCTGCTTTCAGTATGTGTAATGCCTGTGGTAGATCATGATTGTTTTAGAAATTTGCTTGAGTGTTGTGTTTGTGAGATATGGAGAATAGCCATGGGCTCATGAGCCATGTGCTGGTGCTTCTCTTCGAACTTAAGCCCTGTTGGTGGGGGTTGCTTATTGGATGGGTGATCACAAATAATATCCCCTGTTCCTGAGTTCTTTCTTGTTAGTGCTCTTCCTTTTCTTTCTGCAATGAAAGAAATTTTTGGGTAACTTCTTCAGCAAAGCGGTGATGTTTGGTAAAAAGTTAACTTTTGAACTTGCTAACATGACATGATGCAGTGCCTGGAAAACTGAGTCCTTGGAGAATGAAGACTTTTTGTGGTGTACATGGAGCAAAACTCATAAAACTGAATCCTAATAATGTACTAGTGATGTCTGGTTTAGCCATACTTGACTAGCTTGTACTTACAATTGCTGAGCCAGTCAACTTTCTGGAACAGCATTGTTAAATTATCATCAGTTATATATGATAGCAATTTTTTCCTCTAAATACAATTATATTAAATTTTCAAACCAGTTTTCTAAAAACTTGTAGGAAAATGTTTATCTTTCAGGCGTTTGAGACAAGATATTAATTTAATGTTTTAAACAATTCTTAGGTTTACTAATTCCATGGTTTACTATGGAGTACTTTTGAGTGTTGGAGTGCTAGGTGGAAACCTTTATTTGAATTTTTTCCTCACAAGTGCTATTGATATTCCCAGCAACTTTTTCGTTATCTGGTTCATGAGTTGGTAAGTGTCTGTTAATGATTAGGGGGATAGGGTTGGGTGGGGAGGGGGGAGGAGGGGGGGAGAAATTGGCCATACAGATATTGAAAAATTTCTTGTGTCATCTTCAAGGGTGGGGTGTGGCTGTTTATAAGTGAGGTTGTGCAGACATGATGAGCAGTTCCTTATTTTACCTAAATGTAATTTGTTGTGCAAGTCAACAGGAATCAGCAGAACAAAAAATATCTTGGTGTAGCTAAAACTGTTCATGGTCTGCAGTGAATGTTAATAAAGGACTTATTCTGAAATTGGTATTTTGAGGCAAACATGAAGGAAAGAATGTAAATTATAGACATTTCAGTTAGCCAGTAAATTGATAGACAATCAGTCAGCCAGTCAGTTGGTCAGTTTTAAAGTGGAGTGGTGGTTCCTTGGGTGAGTATGTCACTGTGCCCTTCATTTAGTTGGTTTATCAATCAGTCAGTCAATCTGTCAGTGCATCAATCATCTTTCAGTCAGTTGGTTGCTATGTCAGTCAGTCTGTCAGTCAATCTGTCAGTCAATCAATCAATCTGAGTCAATCAGTCAGTCAATCAGTTGGTTAGTAATCCATCTTACCACTCATTCTGCTGGTCATGTCAATTTGTTAGTCAATTAAGGATGAAAGTAATCACTCAATTAGTACATCAGTGTCAAAAGATTGGTTATTGCAGTGTTGGTGGTTAGAGTGTTAAATAGTGGTTGTGTGTGTTGGCAGGAAATAAAAGATTTATTTAATGAGCCACCTAGGCCATCTCAGTTAGTATAAAACACAACCTGCTATAAAGTGATGTTTGAGGTATATTGATTTGGGTTTTTATTATTCCAGGGAAAAAGGACTTTTGTGTAAAAGTTTTTATGGTAGAAAGAGAGCTTTAATCCTTTGTATGAACCTGGCAGCAGTGTTCTGTATCACTGTTTCTCTAATTCCTCCAGAATCTGATTCAGGTGAGGGAATTGTAGAATTACTTTGTAAACCTACTCATTTACTTACAAAGTGCAACTACTGTTCAATTTGGCTGATTTAAAGTGACCAAACCAGTTACTGAAAACGTGCAGTAAATTTCATCAGAGTTTTTAGTCACCTTTGCCTGCTTTGGTCTGAAGTTCTGATTGGTTAATTTGAATTTTATTGTGCGTTATTCGTGCGGTGTGGTGGTTGAATTTTTTAAGAGACCCTGGCTGTAACACTCTTAGGTGTTTTGAATTTGCCTTCAAGTTGGGTGTGGTTAATATTTTTATATTTGTCATTCAAAATTTCGTACTTTGTTGAAACGTTTTTTTTGTGGTCAAGTTGTTGCATAGGCAAGGTTACCAAATGATTAATTGATATCTCAATTTCATTGGTTCATTAAACGCTCCACACTTTGCCACTCAATTTGATTCATTCTCTTGATAATTCGTTTCTCTATTTCAGTATGTTGTAACTTTAAGTTATGTTGAATATACTTCCATAATGACTTCATGATAAAGTGTTCTGCCTCTTTTAGGTAGCACAGCTGCACGTGTCATTTTCACAGTCCTTGGAAAGTTCTGCATCAATGCGTCATTCAGCACAATTTACGTTTTCTCCTCAGAGCTCCTTCCCACAGTCATCAGGTTTAGTTTGCTGGAATTATTTTAAATTAATTCTTCTGAGAGTGGGAGAGAGTTGAATTGCAAAACATAAAATATTTAAAATCAAACCTCTCCTAGCTTACACTGCTGTCGTTCTTAAGCGGACAGCTCTCAGTTATTGCTACTAAGTCAATAAAAGGAACAAAAAGAAAGTGAAATGTGATCATCGCAGTAAATTTTCCAATTTAAGCAATTGGA